CTGACGGTCCGAACAGGCCCGGTGCTGTTATGTCTGCCTCTGTGTTCACGGTGGGAATCCACTCTTGCTTTTATTGGAACAGAAAGAACAGCTGTGTGGCTCAAATGCAAACAAAGTACTAGTTTGGAGCCAGCACTTGAATCTAAATATAAACCCCTGATCCAGATGTTTACAGATGAAATTCAAAAGGGTGTTAAAAATACTTCAGCTGGATTCAATCGTTTTCATTTTAGGCCACATAAAATATCCAAAAATCACTTTACAGGACGGACAGGAAATCTTTTCTGTAAACATTTTCAAACCGAAAGTGACAGAATCTGCACATTAATTCCAAACTGGATGGTTTGAGGTGAAGTAGATGTGGGAATGTAAACATGGCTGTACGATGCCGCAGGTTTGTTCTTCTTCTCACAGAATCTGCTCAGTGCAGCCTTGAACACGACCTGAACCGTCTGAAGTGACATCAAACAGGACTGAGAAGTGCTGAAAGACTCCTGGCAGCTTTGACTTCTCGTGCCGTTTGCCAGAAAAGACACTTGTCTCTGTTCTTTTTGAGTTAATAACTCATTTTGGGAAAGAAAAAAAAAAAGCTTTATGTCTTCCTGCATGCCTTGATAGTTTGTTTGTGCAGCTGTGATAAAAGGAGCAACACAGCAGATTTTACTTTATGCCAAAAATGCAGCTGCATGCTGGGAATGTCCCAGAAGCCTAAAGTCGCTTTGGGAGATTCCCACAAACCAGCAAGGGCAATTCCCCGAAAATGTATCTGAACTCAGCTGAGGCTGGGTTACAGTGTTTCCACAGCCGAGGAGAGTCTGAAGCAACAAGGCAAAGTTACGATGACCCTTTCCCTTCAGATTCCAGTGGACAAAAAAAAAGGTTACAGAAAATGTCGAGTCATTTCGCCGACTGTTTGTGTTATGGAGCCACGAGCTGAAAACCAGGCGTGTTTGTAGAAAGAGATGGTTTTATGAATGACAGGAGGATGTGTAGATCAACACAAGGCCGTAAAGATTCACTAAAACGGTCCTTAAAGGAGAATAAATGGTTTTATTTGCCAACTGCTTGATCAAATCCGTTCAAATAAACTCATGGAAGGGATGATTTACCAGAATTTAACATGTTCCTTTTAAAAAATATTTAAACTTTGTGTCTATAGAGCTGTCAAACTCAAGTTCAGATACAGTCCAGCTGCCAAAATTACCTTCAGTTTGAAAATCCAACACGTTTCCCTTCCTGAAGGAGGCCGTTGTTTGAAGGTTTAAAGAAACAGGACATTATTCATGATGTTAAGTGTTGATATTTCAAGGTCGTGAATGTACTTAATGGAAACCCATACTGGGAAATATTGAATTTCTTCCAGAAACTTGACCAAAATGTATTTTTAAAAACAGACCAAGATCATTTATGTTAAGAAAATGGTTGGTAAAGGTTCACATCAGAGAACATGTGATTGACTCTTAGCAACTACCACGCCATATCTGAACATTCACGGATTGGGCTAGACTAGCTGTGGCAGCCATGTTGAAATGTGTTGACTTTATAAGGTGATGAGTTACAACTGATGATGACTTTTTAGGAGTTTCACTCATATGTGATTACCTTTGCTTTTGGCAGCAAACAGTAAAAAGATAGAATAGAAAGAAAAGCACAACATGGGAATGTAAAATAATACATTTTATTATGACCATGTGATTTCCAGGATCAACAAAGCACTTTTCTGTTCCATGACACTTTTAAGGGTGGCTCTTTCTTCTCTAAAGGACACTGGAGACAAGTCAGGAATGATTGACACCATCTAAAACACAACAAGGCAGATGTTTGCTTATGTGAATGATTAAAATGAAACTTGTTGACAGGATTTGAACTGGATTCATGCCGGGTGCAACACACTGAGGTCACACATTTTACTTTGCAAACTTTTAACTTCCAAGAGCCTCTTACATTAATTTATTCGTGCTGGAATGCTTCTTAAATTTAAAGTTCAATCTGCACAGATTAAAAAATAAATATGTAAAGGACTTGTAAACATGAGGCTCTGGTCACATACAAAATGGACCGACAGCTAGAATACGGGAAAAATATGAACTAAAATCTTTTTATTTTCCTACATAATTTTACATTTGATATTAAAGAGTATCTATGGAAAGAACATTTAACCTGGTTGTTTACAGATATGCTGTTTACTTAGACACAGTGCAACAATCTATGCATGATATATATATATATATATATATATATATAAATTTCAAACAGATCTAATGAAAAAATTCATTTTTTTAGGTGATTCCTTGTATCAGTTTCATAGAATATTTTGCAAATTTAAGTTTTCTATTAGTTATTTCTTCAAAATTCACAAGTTTTGGTTTTTAAATTAAAGGTATTTCTATCCATATAAATCCAAATTTAACTTGTCCATTGAGTAAAACAAACTATTTAATTTTAGTTTATAAAAGTGGAGGGTCAAACCTTTCGACCACGCTTCTGCTTCTGTGATCCTTTGGAAGAAAAGTCAACGAATGCAATCATCAGTTTATCAGTCACACATATGAGCATACATTACAAAATAGTCTTATTTTACATATAAATATAAAACAATGGCGGATGAGACAGAGCCTTGCTTAAGTCAGTAAAGCTTTTTGACCATTCAGGACCTTAATAAAAACAAACACTAGAAAAGAATATGTTTATTCCACCAGAGACACAAAATGCTGTCAAATATATACACAAAATAAAATCACTTTACTTGTAGGAGCTCAGTTGTGTCATATATTTTACAGCTAAAGTTGTACCAATAATCCAGCACATTAACATGTGTAGCTCAGAGGGAGCTCCAGGTCAACACTACAAGGTTTTTAAATACACCACGAAAATATATCCTGTAAAAAATAATACACTCCCAATATATTTATATAGTTATATACATATAGGTTAAATACTGATCAATTTTAAGTCCCTGGATTGATGAAAACCTCCTTTATCGCTTTAGGCAGCGAGCTAAGTCATGCTAACTGAGGCCTCCTAGTTTCACAATTGTGCTTCACAACGTCTGTTTTATGTTGTTTTTTTTATCAACTTTAGCTTATTTGTTTTCTTGCTGCAGATGAGAAGACTAGTACCACGTTTATATTGGCTGATTTTATGAAACAGATCAAATGTAGGAGTGAACAAAAGGCTGTCAGGCTTTTATGCTAAGCTAACCACTCTCTGTCATGTAGGAACTATTTATTTAGAAACAAAAATGGCATCTGTGTTCTCATCTAAATAAAAACAAGAAATCAAATAAATGAAGTAATCAGTTATTGCCCGCTTAATAATCCAACATATCTGTGGTGCGTCTGCCGTATCTGTATCAAATGAAAGGCTTGTACAGCAAATACACATTTAAAAAAAAATCTATCTTTGAGGTTTCACGTGTCTGTTTCTCACTTTTTTTTTTCAGATTACAGCCAGAATCAATTGATTTGTATGAACCGCAACAGTAATCAACACCACTGCTCGCCTAATAAGTGCATTATTGTTGAATAGCGCGCTAACTCATTAAAAAATTTTTTAAAAAAGCTCTGTGCTGCTGTAAAAAATGGGAAATCCACCCTTTAAAATAATGTACGCCTTGTCTTCTATACAATATTGATTTATTTGAGCTGACACTGTTTACATAATTAAAATAAATGAAAGTTGCAGCTTTGGAATAAATATCCAATCTTCTCGCTGGTTGCAATAGGACTTATTTAAATATTACACGTTGTCCTCTCACTGAGCCAAAAATGTTTTGAGGTTGGCCCAACAACACCCGAGTCTGTGTCCTGTTTAATTTGAGTGCATTTTTTATTGCTTTCAATAATAATTCAAGGGAAATTAGTCTTACACTGACTTTACAATCTTTTAAATGCCACATTTGTGACAGTACTGTTCCAGAAATCTACTATCTCATAAAAATCTTTAGGGTATTTAACGTATTTTACTCATTGCAAAGTCATGAAGACCAGACAAAAAACATTTACAGTAGTCCCTCATTTATCGATGGGGGATCTGTACTCTGAAGCCCCGAAATCCTTCCCACACTATTGTAATATTCTAAACAGTGTTTCTAAACACTCTAAAAGAGCACAGAATGTCATGATTTCAGCTCCCTGCCTCCTCTGCTCTTTGCCATCTGCAAGCGCTCTTGGCCACGCCCACTTCTCCGCTCTGCACAGAGACCAGCTGATCAGCTGCAGCAGGAAGCTTATCCTGCAGTGTGGGTTGCACCAAGGTGCAGTAGATGCTAAATAATTTATTTTAAATAAAAATTCCATGCCAATCGTGCGGCTCATCCATCAATCAATCAGCCAATCTCATTTTGAAAAACCGCGATAGAGCGAGTCCGTGAAAAGCGAAGCGCGAAGTAGCGAGGGACTACTGTATAAAGTTTGCTTCCAGTCAAAATCAGTGACTTAAGCTTCCATGTGATTTCTGGTGCAATAAGCAGAGTGCTTTGTTTACACTGAGTGCAGACCCGCATTTTATATTTTCATACAATATATATCTGGAAAAGTATTGTTGTAAACTCTTTCAAATTGCAACATTTCATATAGTTCAGGATAACCTTTTTTTTGTTTAGCATGCTTGATTTTTGACTTTGCAATGAGTACTTTAAAAAGAGAATGCTTGAAGAAGGTTCACAGGTTTGTTGTAACTAAATATTTGGAAAATACTTTTCTTTTACTGGCTTCAGTTAAACAGCGTACCTCATAGGATCACAGCTGGTACATTGATGGCTGTATCGAGCTCAACGAAGGTGACATTTTTATTTCAGGGTGGAATTTCCTCTTGATGTACCACCTTCACACAATTAAGGCACCTTGTAAACCCTCGAGGGGTGAATGGGTTCTTCTAATAAGAAGAAAAGCAACAACATGGAACACAGAACTGGACCAACAACAAACCAGTAAAAACAAGTAAAACATCAACCATATTGGTGGTAGTGGGGGGTGGGGGGGTGGGGGGGATTTTATGGAATGTTTATGGGTAAGGTACAAACACTGGAAGTGCCCCGTTTCTTAGTTTTTGTCTCGTTTTGTAACTTTGCACAGCAGCACCTCCCGCCACAGGCTCTCCATGAAAAGCTGCAGCTGTTTCAAAGCACCAGAATCCGTCCCAGCTTTAGGAGCGTGCAGCGGTCAGTATCCAACGTTGAGCTTGTTTTTGTTGAGCTCCCTCTCCAGGTTTCCTATCAGGGTGTCGATGCTCTCCTGCAGGTCCCTCAGGTTCCCCCTGTCCTGGATCTTCATGTAGGCCTGGTAGGTGTGCTCTTTAGGCAGTCGAGGCGACAGGATGTGGTTAAACCTCCTCTCCTCTGCGTCCTCCTCCTCTAATGAGTGTCTGTTTGAAGTATCTTTCATCTCTTCATCATTTTCCTCCTCCCTCACCACCTCCTCTTTTTGAGGGTTCTCCTGCACAGCGGGATCAGACGCAGAGCTTGGGACCGTCTCCTGTTTGTCTTCCTCTGCTGTGTCTTCCTGCTTGTCCCGGACGTCTTCCGTTGCCTCCGTGTCCTCGGAGGGCACGTCGTCGTAGTCCACCTCCTCTTTGCTGGCAGGCGGCGGCATTTCAGAGGGGAAGTAATTTTCACCACAGGTGCTCCAGTCGCCAGCGTAGCGGTTGCTAGGGCTGTCCAGACGTCCCGGCTTGGGCCTCAAGACGCCAGCCATGTCTACTTCACTGAAGTTCAGGACCTGGGGGCGTTCTTTCCTCCGCCGCAGAGGAGGAGCTGACAGGAGGTCAGAGGAGGCCGGAGCCACTGAGGCTGCAGGGGGGTGACAGGACGACTGGTCATGGGGGTCCACAACTGACAAAGAGACAAAGAGCAAAACTAGTTAATCAGCTGCTGCGTGTTCAAACAATGAAGACAAATAATGTTTTCGTAAAAACTGCAAACCGTCTGTTGAAGGTTAATCAAGTCGTCATCAAGCTTAAAGCACAAAACATACCCACAACCCAACCAGCAATCATCTCATCCAGGATTTAGTCTGTTGAAATCAATTAAATATTGGCATCATGTGACATGCAGGCTCAGTGTAAAGCTAAAAGTGTTTTGTTTTTTTCCAAAAATTGTAAAATTTCTTAATTTAAATATTTAGTATGTTTACTATGTTTCATGTGAATAAAAAATGGGATTATGAGATTTTCAACTCTTTGGCTTTATTGTGTGAATGTTTATGAAGCATTCACACTATTGTGATCCGATTTTCTTCTGTACGTTTTTCTGCATCTTTTTTATTCCACAATTTTTGTCAAAGTCAGAGACTCTGACTCTTTTTGTGCTGTTTTTGGGCTAATTTTTGTGCTATTTCAACTAATACCAAAATGTTCAGCTCTTTCAGGACTATCCTGCTATGACTTTTGGTATTGGTGCAACTTTAGCTTTTTGAAATATTTTGCCTTTTCTGCCACTTTTCTCTCATAGAAAATGAATGATCTCATTTTACAGCCTTCAAATCTTAAGATCTGTTTACAACCTTTTCTTTTATTGCTCCTTTCACATTTTGTTCTGGTTCAGCTTCTTTCAGCTTCCTTGTGCAAAATTAAACTTTATTTTCAGCTACTTTCAGCTAATGTCAGCTGTTTTTTTCATCTGTTTTGTGCTCCTTTCAGATTCTTCTTGCTAACTATGTTTCTTCCAATTTCATGATCCTTTCAGCTTATTTCTGCAAGTTTCAACTATTTCTGCTATTTCAGCTACTATTTAGCTGTTTTTATGCTAATTTAAGCTTCTTCTTTTTTAGCTAATTCTCATTTCAATTTTTTCTGTGTAATTCAGCAAAAAATATGTTCTCTCCACTTTCTTCTTGTAATTTCAGCTTCTTTCTGCTTTTTGAGCTACTTTTTGGCTGTTTTTTTTATTATTATTTTTTGCTATAGTCAGCTTTTTTCTGATAATTGACACTTTTTTGTGCTCATTTCTGCTTTTTTTCCGTCTAATTGGACAAAACTGTGCTCTCTTCACGTCCTTCTGCTAATGTAAGCTATACCTTTTAGCTAACTTTTCAGCAATGTTTAGCTAATTTCAGCTGCTTTCAGATAAATTCAAGTCTTTTGTGGTCATTTCTGCTACTTTCAACCTACCAGTAATTAATTTATTTCTGATAATTTCAGCTTGTTATGCTCCTTTTAGCTTATATCTTCTAGTTTACGCTTTTTCTGCTATTTTAGCTACTATTTAGCTGTTTTTAGCTTTATCAGCTAATTTCACTTTTTTTTTTTTTTTTTAGCTCATTTCAGCTCCTTCCACTTCCTTCTGGTAGTTTAAGCTTCTTTCTGCCTTTTCAGCTAAATTTCAGCTATTTTTTTCTTTTAATTTCAGCTTCTTTTTTTTTATACTAATTTCCAAATATTTGTGCCAATTTCTGTTAATCTAAACCTCATTCAACAAATACCCATGTGTTCTTTCTGCTAACTTAGGCTTTTTCTTCCATTTCTGCTATATTTTAGCATGTTTTTAGCTCATTTCAGCTGGTGTTTTAGCAAGTTCTTCAGTAATAAGCATTCACGCTGCATTTTCAAATGAAATGCAATTTCTTCAGATTACTTTTATAATATCTCAGCTTTTATGGAATTGGGGTTGTAGCTTGTGTTGCTCACAGCATTAAATTATAATGACTTCTTCTAGCAGGGTTCATAAATATAAATCAGCTTTCATTAGAGTTATTTTTAGTGGAAAGTAGTTACAATTAAAACTCAAGTTAATGAATGATCACCAAGAGCTGGAACATTGTGTCAAAGCATTTTTGTGAGCAGCCAAACTACAATCATTTATAAGGCAGGTGTTGCTTAATGTAAAATCTGAACAAACCACCACACACTGAGATTCTGTTGCCAGTCGTGCTGTTTGTTATTAACCAAGTGACTAAATCAACCTTAAAAGTTAACCAAAGTGACGCCATGTTTGGAAGTCATTAAGGAATCATGTGAATGCAACATGAAAAGGAACAAGGAGCACTCGAAAGCAGCGTACCTACACTTTTGCACTTTTCTAGTCTTTCCAACAGGAACTGGGAACAAAAACAGACATTTTAAGTTGCGCTGCAGTTTATGTTGCCTGTTGAGTCAAGGAAGAGACAATAAAATGACATTTCAGCTGGTTTCAGAGCTGAAATGCTGATGAGTTATGAGCCGTGTTGGCTTCAGTTCAGTCAGCACGTTGGTGGTGTTTAAGTGCGGTGGGTGCACACCTCACAACGCTCCTCAGGCTACAGGTTTAACCAATTATCACCTGAAACAAACAGAAATTATCCTCCTGTCAGAGACACCATCATTTCATTTCAGACATGATTCATTGATGACCTCAATTAAATCATTAACTGTCAGCAGAAAACAGAAAAATAAATATTTGCTGTCCCTATAATTTCAATATTTCTGGCTAAAGCTGCAGGACGGAGAAGAAAGATTTGTACTTTTTTACTTTATGAAATGTTATGTTCTGTGCCTGAGTGGTAAACCCTATCTAAATGTTGTTTCTAAAGGACTGTTTATCCGTGTTTATCGGTGAATCTGAGAGCTGGTAGCCGGTCCACGAGGACTTCTGAGTGGGAAGGCGCCGCCGTACGTCCGGCGTTCTCTCTGGAATACACCGGGACTTTTTTCATCCAGATTTGGACTCAGTCGGTCCACCGTCTGGTCCTGTGCTGGCCATCTGAAAGTCCGGCTGCTGCCAAAATGCTTTTCGGTGCTCAAGGGCTGCACAGAACTGGACCAGAATCGGAGCAGAACTAGCAATGTAACTGAGCCGCTGTTTCTGCAGAGTTAGTGAGTAAATTTTGCAGTACTTTGCAGTTAAAATGAGTAGGTTTAAGAGTTTAAAACGTTTGTCGCTGCAGGGTAGGTCTGCAGAAACAAAACCAAGTCAGACCAGAACCAAGTGGAACTGAGCTGCTGCTGTTCCGCAGAGCTGGTGAGTAAAATTTAGTAGCTACATTTATGTATGTTGTTAAAATTACGTAGGTTTGAGTTTAGAACATTAAGAACATTGCAAGTGTGTGAGAAGGGTTTATAAATATTAAAATAAATACTAAAATAAATATAACGTTTTTACTTTTAGGTTTTTCACCTATCGCGGGGGTGTCTGGAACGTGACCCCCGCGATAATTGAGGGACTACTGTACATAATTGTTACAAATGCCCAAACGCTGCTTGTTCAAGTGATACGATGAGGCAAATAAATCTGGTCTTCTCAGATATGAACACAGACTCAACACACACCAGGGCTACTTGCATTTCTTTAGTGCACGTGCCCTCCTGCACTTCCTGTAAATACCGCCCGTGTGTTTCCCACCAGCAGCCATCAGATGCCCTTGTGTTTGTGCAGAGACGTGCAGCAGAAGCCCAAGCGACAGAGCCTTGCTGGGTTTGGTATGTGTGTATGTGTGAGGCGAGAAGAGTCGGCTGAAAATATCCTATAATAGCTCTGGGGGCTGAAGGGTAAGGTTAAGTCTGGAATGTCTTTAATTACAGTCCAGACGTCCTGCGCTTCGTGTCAAAGACGAGGTTCAGAGTGGAGGTGAGGGTGTAAACAAAAGCTTGAACCTGGAATAAAAAAAAAATGTCTGAGTTATTACATCACCTGAAAACAGGAGTCTGGATCTGTTCTTAGTTATTGTTTGTCTTCAGGTGTGACTTTCTAAAAAAAATCCATTAAAAACAGTTTATTTCTGTATGTTCCTTCTCTAGTTCCTGAACAGCTGAGGGTGTTCTGCTTTACTGGTTTCCAAAGGTCTGGTCCAATGTGGGAGTTAAAAGATGCAGTTTGGCACAGAGTGAACATCTGGTTTAACGCTGCAGCCTTTAGGTGCTCAGAGGTAAACAAAGTATTTTAGAGATAAAACTTGTGGTGTGATGTTGAAAATACTTTTTCAAAATGCTGCAGGGCTGCGGATTAAAAAAAATGTGATAGCATGACATAATTTAGTCTAATTTTGTGTCTTTTCCATTATGTAACAGAAAGCTAATTTCGTTTTTACGTACTTGGGTTGTGTATCTGAAATCTGTAGCAGATACGACACAAATCTCAATAAACTGCAAACAGTTTGATTCATTAAAGATACATGAGCAGCAAAAAAAAAAAAAAAAGATACAATACAATTCAGCATCAGATACGAAGCATCTGGACTTAATCCCAAAATTGAACTGGGACAGATCAGGTATTTTTCATAATCTACAAACAACTTGTTTTTTTTATTACCCAAGTTCAGAACAGTTAAATTATATAAAAAAATAAAAAATAAAAAGTAGCATTTAAAAAAAAAAAAAAACAAGTCTGTTGGTCTCAGCTGTATAAAAAAATAAACCCAATAGACGAGCAAAAACTCGCTGCACCTTTTATCATCACTCACGACTGAAACAATGGGCAGGTTCCGTCATGCGTCTCACGGCACAGACAGCTGCGCATGCGGACAGATGATCTGCGCAGAGTCAAACTGGTACTGATGGTTTCTCCTTGGTAAGTGATTTATCTCAGGACAGAGGGGCTACGCCTCATGGATTGGCTTTTCTGGGCTTGGTTCTGTTTAGCTCAGCCAACCATGATGAAGCACTTGTGGAAAGAGCCAGCAGATGGAGGCTGGTGGCTATCAGCCCCACCCGTACCGTCTACAGCCTGCAGGATCAAAGCTGCCCAGCCCCCGTAGGAGTTCTTTGTAGAGCTGAACCACAGAGCTGCTAGTGATTTGTAAAGCTCCTATATAAAGACGAGGCGCATGACTTGAATGTAAATATGATTCTTTCAAGCTGTGACACCTACTATGTAAAAGAAAAAAAAAAGGGGGGGGGGGGGGCTCACCTGGCCAAAGCTGCAGGAGGTAGTGCAGGACTTCAATGTGCTTTTTGAAGTGCAAAGCGCTCGCCAGCTCCTCAGAGTCGATGAAGACGCGGTTGGTGTGGCAGGACGCCTCCTGACGCTGGCTGAGCAGCACGGGGCCGAAACACACGGCCAGGTTCTGACATGTCATCTTGTTCACTTCATGGTAGGACGCCACAAGCTTCAAGTGGTCAAGCAGCTTCCGCAAAGTCATCTGACGCGCACACACAGAAGCCCAGACAAATTAGACGTATTATTCTGATTAGTAGCTGCAGCAGTACCACCAGCTGCAGAGGCAAGAAAGCAAACGGGTTTTGTTGCTTACCCTCTCCACCTCTGGCAGGTTTTCCAGCAGCCTGACGGTGTACTCAGAGTCCGCCTGATCGTTCTCGCACCCCGCTGCGCCCATTTTTAGAGGTCTCACAGCCATGGTGTCCAGCACGGCTTCATACAACGGTTTGTTGATCAGAGGGTAGGGCAGTTCACGCAGGTAGTCCTTCAGAACTCCTGATGAAGGAGACAAGAAGACGGCAGAGGATGAGAAACATGGCTAACAGCTCAGTCTGGACAGAAGGGTTGAGTGAAAAGAGTCACACCTGTGACCATGGACTCCTGTAGTCCAGCAATTATAGCTACAGAAAACATCAAACCCACACTGTTTGTCTCCACTAAGACCCTGAAACATCACTGGTGTCTTTTCATCTAAAGCAAATGAGGGAAAAAAAAAAAAAAGGTTCCTGGCAGTGTGACAGCTCTTTGTGGTGTCTGCTCTCTCTCTCCCAAGAATGAAGCTGGGTTAGTTTTCAGGGAAGGCTGTGGAGGAGTGGGGCTATAATTAGCTACACTGGTCGTGCTTCAAAATAATCAATATCCCCTGCTAATTACGAGTAATGAGAAACAAACACAATAAAAAAAAATAGAAGTTGCATTTTTGTAAAACATTAACACAAAATAATGCATAGATAGGCCCGTCACGATAACAAAGTTTTGTTTTCATGAGGTCGGCCTGTTAGATTAGCTCGTAGCTTAGCTTCTCAGCTTAGCTGCTTTTAATCATCCAAATACACAATTTTGGACGGTTTAAATGGATTTTAAAGAGAAAAGAGAAAGGGAGAGGTCAGTGAAGAGCACCAGAGTTTAATTTTTTTGTCATCCAGTGTCTTCAGTAGAAAGAGAGACACACGAAGAAACGATAAAGCGGACAAATGAAAATGAGGTTGATCATTTTCATTCATTTTGATTTATTGTTCATTGCGACAGGCCTAATAATACATCTAATTTTTCCCAACGTTAACCTTTATCTGAACATGGAACAAAAACGACAAGTTGAACATTTATCCATCCATCCATCCATCCATCCATCCATTATCTTTACCCACTTCTTCCTTTTTGGGTCGTGGGGATCACTGGTGCCCATATCCAGCTATCACTGTGTGAGAGACGGGGGGACACCATGTCACCAGTGGGACACCAGTCCATCACAGGGACACATAGAGACAAACAACCAATCACTCACACCTAGGGACAATTTAGAGTTACCAGTCAGCCTAACATGCATGTTTCTGGTCTGTTGGAGGAAACCGAAGTACCCGGAGAAAACCCACGCGTGCACAGAGAGAACGTGCAAACTCCACCCAGAAAAGTCCCGGCCGGGATTCAATCCGGCGACCTTCTCACTGAGTGGCAACAGCTCTACCAACTGAGCCACCGTGCCGCCAGTTGAACATTTAAACAAAAGTAAACGTGTTTTGGTCTTGCAAACAAGGAGAACTGGGGGTGTTGAAGGTGCTACATCACCTCTTTGTGGATGACATGAACTATGTAAAAAAATTAAAAAAAATTCACAAAAAAATAAATAAGAACCACATTTATTACAGTTTTGTGAGTAAATAATCCAATATTTTCATGATAATGACTTATTAATGGTGAATTAAATTTCCTGTTTGGTTGGTCTGTATAGTTTTTTTTTTTCTAACTTCACACGTTCACAACTCCCTCCACAAACCACGTTTTCACAGCTATGCTCACAACTAAAGTAATATGTGAAGAGCATCCTAGAAGAGTTGCGACTATAAGAGCTTTCCAGAGTCTTGTGCTGGACCGTAAGTTGTGAAAATGATTTTTAAATGTGCTGCTTTAGAATGTGCTCATGTTAAAACCCACAAAAAATACAAACAAATACAGGACAAATGATGACAAAGGAAACTATGTCCATTAACTCGTGTGGTTAATGGGCACTGAATCATTAAGATAACTGGATTAAAAATAGCCAAATACATTTTTTACAAACTAAAGGTGGGGAGAGGAACTGGCAGACATCTTACAAGTAAATTGGGTTTATATTTTTGAATTGGTAAATAAAGAATTCTGTGATTTACTTGTCTAAGTGTCATACTGATAAAATATCTCTACATAACAAAACCACCACTGGCTTGTTGTGATCTTTCAGGTTTGAACGCAGACATGGTGGAAATCCTGCGTGAGCTCAACCACCATCAAGTCAAGCTCCACCTTTCAAAAAAATATAAATTGCAGTTATGTAAACATGCTCAAACACTGCTCCCTTTCTAGTTCAGAGCGGAGGTGGAAAAGTACGCTTTGGATGCATGAATTTGGAAAGTAGAGATGGTGTTTTCTCAGGTTGAACAGGAACATTTAGAGCCACGGTTCTGTCCAAACTGCATTTGCTGTGGGGAAAAACTTGCTTATTTTAGCAACAATTCAACAACAAAAGTTTTTCTCTAGGTAAGAAAAAAAAATTGGAAAAATGTCGCACTCCATTTAACAGTTCCAGTTGTTTTGTGTTGCATAAGTCACAGGACACGGAACGACAGCTACCTGCAGAAATTCCCTAAGCAGCGACACCAATCCTCTGACGTAACCGATTCTGATTACAGAGCTGTAAATAAAAGCTCACTTTGTCCCTCTCATCCTTCTAGTGTTTTTCCTCTTCACTTCTTGCCTTCTATTTACAGCAACACGGTTCACTCTAAATCCACTGACATCTCCTTAGGCACACCTTAACACGCTAACTTCATAATCCCAGATTTGCTTTTCAAAGGAGATGGAGGCTGTGAACTCCATTTCTGAGCTGTGGGTCATTCATTCATCAGTAAAAGCAGCGTAAATGTTTGAATAAGAAGTTCAGGTCATGATAGCTTCAACATCCTATCTTTTATTTTGAAAAGTTGGTAGGGATAAGAACTTTTGCACATTGGATTGGAGATCCAGTGGGTCAAGCCAATTGACACATTTTAATGCAACTTGCAGAAAGTACAGTAGTTTGACGACTTCAAGATTACATCTAAAGCCAACTGACCTTAAAACACATATAAACAACTATAACTTAGTTCATTTTACATACTGTATATTGACCTAAAAATGTTAAGAGTAACCCCTAACACATATACTGAGTGCTACCAGACCAAGAACCTTGTTTAAAATGTAGCTATTACTATTTCAAGTAAATTCTATCCGTCTACAATTTATTCATTTTTGGAGTCAGCCTCATTCAAGGTGGCCACCACAGCCGTTTGACAATGATCAGTGAGACAAACAACCATTCATGCTCACACCTAGAGACAAATTAGCATTATCAATTAAAATAACATTCATGCTTTTTGTCTGTGGGAAGAAACCGGAAAAAAAAACAACATGTGACAAATAAAATAGGATAGAATACTTGAATGGAATAGAATTTAAAATCTTACTTCTAACCTACAAAGTTCTCAACAATTTAGCTCCATCTTATACTACAGATCTTATGGTTCCATATTTTCCTAACAGAGCACGTCACTCTCAGACTGCAGGCTTACTTGCGGTTCCTAGAGTTTCCAAAAGCAGAATGGGCGGCAGAGCTTTCAGTTATCAGGCTCCTCTCTTGAGGAAACAACTTCCAGTTTCTGTCCATGAGGCTGACACATTGTCCAGTTTTAAGACTGGGTTTAAGACTTTCCTTTTTAAAAAATCCTATAGTTGGGGTCGGCTTGGGTTTCCTGAGCTATCCCTTAGTTATGCTGCTATAGGCTTAGACTGCTGGAGGACAAACTGGCCACATTTCTTCACTCTGCTACTGTCTTTACTTACTCTGCTCAACCTGTTTTGTATTTGTAAATTAATTTTTTCTATCCTAACGTGTTTTTTTTTTGTCTTTCACGTTCACCTGGACCTACATCTGGACCTGCCATTCTGTGTTCGTTTGTCTCTCCTTCCTGTCTTCTCAAACCCAGCAGGTCAAAGCAGATGGCCACTTGTCCTGAGCCTGGTTTTGCTGAAGGTTTATTTCTTTTAAAAAGGAGTTTTTCCTTCCACTGTTGCCATTGTGCTTGCTCAGGATGGGAGACTGCAATGAAGTGAAGATTCAACGAGCCTGCTGGCTTCCTTGGATAGAGAACTTTACTAATTGGCTTTTATGTATGTGAATGCTCCTGTAAAGTGTCCCGAGACATCTTTGTTGTGAGTTGGCGCTATATAAATAACATGAATTGAACTGACTAGGAAGAACATGCAAAGTCCACACAGGAAGGCCCCCTGCTGGGAGGGGAACCTGTGAATTTGTTGCTGTGAGGTGACAGTGCTGCCCACTGCTCCATCATGCTAACCAGCTCTGTTTGTGTTCATTGCAGCTAATTACTAACAGGTACCTGACATTAGGAAACACAAAGTTGGCTATAACTGAGTCAGTGTGACAGATATTGAGTTAAACTTTGACGTGGAAGTAGCTGAGAATGCACATATTGTTGTTTTTAAGTCTTAACCAACATAATTACAACTCTGTCTTTCCTCAAGCCAACATAAGTTCCTGGACTTGTGTATTCCGTCTTTAACACAAAACACCTGCGTGTCAGACTCTTCGACCTTCCTAAAGCTGTGAGGCAGACACAACAACAGCAGGACGGTTTCACGTTAGCGCTGCCCAACGAACCTAAACAACCGGTCTCCCATATTTATAAAAAAAAAAAAAAAACTTTGGTCACATCCTGTTTCTTCAGGGACAAAAACCGTTTGTGGACGTGCGTGTGCGCAGGTACATGACTGAGGTGAAGAGAATACAGCCATTCAAGTAAATCATTAGCCTGCCGTGAGTCAGTGCTTGTTTACTTTTCGACCCTGTGGGTGCCTGACACACACACACACACACACACACACACACACACACACACACACACATTAAGTGAGACACTTTTGCACACAAGGTCAAGCTCATGGGTGAACAGGTGTGCCCACCCTGCAGGTGCTTTGCCATCACTCACAGCCAAGCTGACAACAAACACCCACCGAATGTGTTTTCTCGCACATTTAAACAGTTGGGAGTTTTGGCACATGTTCTGCGCTACAGATACACTCCAGAGCTCCGCCCACACGTCTTGTCCCACAGTCAGACGTAGCCCAGTAATAGACAAAAGGAAGCCTTTGAATTACCTCTCCAGAAACATGCACTGGAGGTATAGTTTGACAGCAGCTGAAGGATTTTCTAACCAATTTAAACTTTGTCAGCGTTCCAAAATGTGCCACCAAACACTACAAGACACACAATGCACTGGGGCACAGCTTTACCTTTGACCTCTTGTTCAAACAAAGCGGAGGGTCACTCCTCTTGTCCACGCTGCAGTCATCGCCTCGCCAGGAGAACAAACAGGGGTTTGTTCTCCCTCCTGCCCCCCCTTCCCCGCTGCTCTGCACACCCCCCCCCCCCCACAGCAGTTGGGGTGGAAGGTGGACGGGTGGGGGGAGCAGAGGTGTGTGTTCTTAACTCGTCCAGTTGCACAGTGGTTTGATTTGGACTTTTCTCCAGGTGGGAAATCAGCGAAGTCCTGATCTGAATCGGTTGGCTCCCTCGGGTGGATCCATCCCGACCAGCTTCACGTTTGTTCACGGCCGTTTAACGTACGAGGGGCCTGCTGCTCTTTGTAAAGTGGTCGCCTCCTTCACTGGTCGGCCCAGGGTTCAGCTAATCCCCCATGCGTGAGCAGAATACCATCTGTGTTTGTTCGGCAACAAAGGGGGCACTTGTTAATGACTTTCCATGTCTTCACTGGAGTACTGAAGAGTGGGTAGTTGGGTGGCTGGGGGGTTAAACAGGGAAATGGACTGTGGAAGAGATGAGTCAGCCAGAACTCAGATCCATAAGTGTGCTGAGTGCTCGATCAGCAGACCTCACATCCCACTGGTTTTACCCCGAGGGCTCCTCATCCCTGAGTGAGGGCGCAAATCTGAACTGATTCTGAAACGCCTTTTCATGGCGCGCTGAGAAGGTGATAATACTTTTGTTTGTAATTGTTCATTTGTCTGAATCCTTAACATCTACATTAAATCTGATTCAAGATGGCTGCTACGATCAGCTAATGCTCAGAAACACAACAATGACTATAACTCAGTCAATTTGACAGATTTTGAGCTCAAATTCGACGTGGTCGCAGCTGAGACTGATCCCCAACACATTTTCTGAGCTATAAAATCTTGCACAAGATGTTTATTTACAATTTTGACATAAACTAGTTATAATTAACTAGGTTTGTCTGTTCACAAAAAAAATCTCATGAACCATTTGGGTGAGGTTCAATAAATCGTTCAGGAAGTGTTTACTGAATGAGGCGCTATTCGTGATTAACTTTTACGGCTAAACCAAGTCAAGATGGAAACCACAGCCAACTGACTTTAGAAAACATAAAGACGGCTAAAATTCAGTTACTTTTAGATATAAGGTGAAAATTTGTTGTGGCTGTAGCTGAGAGTTCCTCCCAACATGTGCTCCAAATATTTCTCTTTCTACAAGGTTTTTAGGGGATGCCGTTTGTAAAGTTACACTTTTTTTAACTTTACACTTTCGTAACTGGGTTTGTCTTTTATTTTGATAGTCCAATTCTGCTTTCCAGCGAGGATACTGCATATTAACTAAATGTTTAGCTCGGACCTAAATATTTAGCTTGCACGTTAAATATTTAGTCCTAGTTAAATATTTAGTTAGCAAATTAAATATTTAGTTTAGGAATTAAATGTTTAGCTTAAAAAAATAATGTTTAGTTTGGAAATTAAAAATTTAGCTTGGACAACACATACTTAGTTTGGAAATTAAATGTTTAGTTTTGAAAATAAATATTTAGCTTGGAAATTAAATATTTAATTGACACCTAAAAATCTAGTTTACTAACTAAATATTTAACATGCAAGTTAAGTATTTAGTTTGCAAACTAAATATTTAGCTTGGAAATTAAATATTTAGTTTGGAACTACGTATGACATTTATAAATTACAAACATGGTGAAAATGACTTTGAAAAAAAAAAATTTTTTCTTATTAAAGGCTAAATAAACCAAAATATTGCCGTAAACTTTTGACAGTGTAACTTTACAAACGGCACCCTATACTTTTTAGCATAAAATAGAACTATGTGTTTAAATGTAAATATTGCACTCAAGTAGATAAAGACCATCCATGTTATTGATATTATGAACACCCTGTTGACACACATCAACACAAAGGGTAAAAAAATTACAAAAAGAGCGACCATTGATCCCACCCCGTTGAAGATGTTGCTGTTTGGTTTTATTTTTCCACAGCTCATGTTGATAAAAACCTTTTGTGGCAAAAACTATGATATGAAAGCCAGAATTGTGATTTGAAACAATGTAAGTCTGAGCAGAGAGCATGTTTTGCAAGCTTTGGGTTGAACTCTGACCCCTGGGATAATCCCTTTCACTGCCTCCGCTTTTAAATTAGCTGTGTGACACGCCACTTCTCTTAGCTCATTGCATGCTGTTCACTTATTAGCCTCTAGTCTGGCTGCGCTCCCTGAAAAATAACTTACTTTACTTAAATACTTACTTATAGGTTTCAGGAATAAACCAACGGTTAAAGCTCGGCTGCATCAAACCTCCACCTCTGTTGCGCTCTCCCTTTCTGGCCTGTCTGCAACAGCAACTTGCTTGGTGGAGCAGATTGAGGCAGCGAGCAAAAACCAACAATCCTCAGTGGTGCCGTGTCTTTTTTCCCAACCCGTTCAACTGTTAACTGTGTTTTTTGCCTGGCCGTGCAAACGCAGGCGGATCAAAGCAGTCATGATATTACGACGCCTAAAGGGGGCCTCTTTCCAAAACCAACAGCAGCCCCTACAGTGTCCAGGGGTTTCCATGGTCTTCCTCCTTTTGTTTGATTTAAAAAAAAACTTGTGACCCAAGTAATTTTCTACAACTCTACACTTATCTGTTGCACTATAAAAGGTTGACTGTTAAATAAAGAAAAACACCAAAATACAAACCCGATAGAGAAAGAATAGCCTGAATTTGCAGCATGAGGTGTCGGTGGGTAAAACCTAATATCCTAACGACCCAATCTAAGACAGGATTGTCCTTGGCAGAGACTGAAAGGATACCAGCACGCTCTGGAAAAGTCACACACTTAAATAATTGATTCTTTCAATTTACTTGAGTGCAGGCGTCATGTTCTGTGCTCCAGGTGATCAGGTTACCTGTGATGACATTGATGTCGGGGTACATGCTCTCACACAGCTCCACAGCGTGACTGTCCCTCTCGAACGCTTCACGCAGCTCCTTCTTCACCGCAGCAGAGCCACACAGACGGTAGAGACCGACCACCTAAAGTCACACACACACACACAGATAAATAAGTGAGCAAATGGGAGACAAATATTTTTTCAAACTCTTCAATAAAATGCTGAAAAAGAAGCCAAAGAACTTTCACAGATGTCAAATTTAATTTGTAAAAACAACTGAGAATAGATACATAAAAAAAAATAACTTTTAAGACTGGAAACCGGAAGGTCTAAATAAGAGTTTCTTGTTGCCGTAAAGCTTAAAAAAATCTGAGTTACAAATGAACTTTCAGACATTTTACACCAACTGTACACTTGTTTCACAACAGACCCTGACAATAAGTATTTATATCTTACCTTTAAGCTACTGACACTCTGTGAAGATTCACTTTATACTCATTCTGGTATTGAAAATAAAAAAGTGCCAACTGTGACCTGTCCAGTCAAGAGACTGAATATGGAAATTAGTCATTGGTCCAAATCTGACACAGTATGCCACTTTGGAGTATACAGTACTCACTCACTACTTCGCAGTTCATTTATCGCAGAGTGGCTCTACCGCTGTTTTTCAAAATAAGATTGGACATGACACAACTGGCTGATTGATGGATGAGCCGCACGATCGGCATGGACTTTTTATTTCAAATCAATTATTTTTAAATTATTTAGCACCTGTGTGCAGCCCACACTGCAGGATAAGCTTCCTGCTGCAGCTGATCAGCTGTTCTCTGTGCAGAGCGGATACGTGGGCGTGGCCAAGAACGCTTGTAGGTGACTGAGAGCAGCAGAGGCAGAGAGAGGGAAATCACGACATGATGTGCTCTTTTAGAGCGTTTAGTTTAGGGACATTGTTTAGAATATTGCAAGAGTGTGAGAAGGATTTAAAACACCTTTATACTATTCTACTTACTACTTGTACTACTATCCCTAATTTGCGGGTTTTCACTTATCACGAGGCTTCAGGGTACGAATCAGGTCTCTCTTGTAAATGAGTTCTCGAGGCTCAGTGGGATTTACCTGTCTAAATAAAGGTTGAATGAATGAATGAATCCCCCACGATAAACGAGGGACTACCGTTTTGCTTTTGATTATGGTTCCTGATAAATTAAAATAAGCTATATTAGAAAAAATTAAAAGAAAAGTAGTATTTGTATGTGAACGATGAATGCTTTGCAACTCAACACAAAACAAATATATCAAAATCTATTGAGGTTAAGCAACAGAGCTCAGTTTTCCACTGAAAACGTGCCACACAGTGAGTAAACCAAGACGCTACTCCGAGTTACACAGTAACGTCTTTTTAAAATGTGTTAGCATTAACTTACGCTGGGGCCCCCTGAGCAGAACCAGTCTGTTTAAACTGAACCAAGGCAGAAGAAGTTAGGAACAAGAGCCGTCTTTAATGAAAAGTGACCCAAAAAAATCTATATTTTTTAGAGGTTAGATAAAAGTGTCATGTTTTGTTGATGGAGTGGATGAACAGGGATATCCTCGAAAGACCCAAGTGACAACTGAGTGTTAAAAAAGAAAGCAATAAAGCATTTTTGTTTCTTTACCTAAGCCTCCTGAGTGACCTGAAGGAACTCGAGACATCTGATAGCTGAAACTTGGCACCGCTGCTCTGCTTGTTATGTTGGGATTAGGCCTGGCTGCAGACATACCATAATTTCTCCTACATGTGTCTGTCTGGTATGTGGCGTAGCGCACCGACTTGTGTGGTTGCCTTGGTAACGTGTTAAGTCAGTGGGCTGTGAATGGTGGGTCAGGTCCGGTTCCACATAAACACATTTGCACACACATACGCACACAAACGCACGCACACACACACTGCCGGCCTTTCCGGCTCCAGAGCAGGAGCTCTGCAGCGTGTCTCGTCCCACCCGAGCGCCTGTTTGTGGGCAACGTTTTCCGCACCTCACACGAGATGGAGAGAGGAGGGCAGATTAGGGATTTGGCTTTGTGTGCGCAAGTAAACAAAAGTCACTGGACACAATGAACAACAAGTCCATTCAGGAAAAAAAACACACACTCTCTCTCTTTGAGGGGGAGCTGAGTGCAGGCAGGAAACAGCTGTTAGCAAAAAGAGGGCTTGCACTCATGCACTATGGCTGCCGGGCAACACAACAGGCAGCACCAGCCAGGATCTATTTGTGGAAGAAAGCCGGCACAATGACCTCCAAACAAAACGAGCTGGGCAGAAAAGTGGATGTCAGGGATGTGATGTAGTTTCCTGGTCTGGGATCAGCTGGGAGACTTCAAAGGAACGAGGGAAGTGCAAAAGAAATAAAGACGGATGTGCATTTGGCTGTGTTAACGCTACTGAGTGTTCGACCAAGTCTGGAAATAAATAAGTTCCCATTTTGATTGGAAAGTGAAAAGAATAGTCAGTAACAAAAACGTGTATGCAAATATTGTGAGTCAAGAAAGTGTGGGGTCTTAAGAAGGTCTATAGATATCATATACTGTTTATAACTTCAGCAAAAACAAAGGCTATGAGTAAAAATAATAATAACATTATGATGGCTTATTAAGATAAGATAAGATAAGATAGAACTTTATTGATCCTGCAGGAAACGGTTGTGCCAAAGTTTCAGTACAAAGGAACATACACAAGGAATCACACAAGATATAATAAATAACAAGAGAATACTAAAAGAAAACAAAAAACAATATAAAAATACCAACAATTAAGTTTTAAACAGGTCAGGGGCAGCCAGAAACATTACAGTGTTTATTGTTGTACAGGATTAATTTTATTGTCCTATATGTAGAAAGGGGGAGGAGTTGAAAAGTTTGATAGGGAGGAAGGACTTCCTGTGATGTTCTGTGGAGCACCTCGGTGGTCTCAGTCTACGACTGAAGGTGCTGAGGTAAGAGTCCAGGGTGTCATGCAGGGGGTGCGACGTGTTGTTCAGGATCTGGAGCAGTTTCCACAGCATCCTCTGCTCAGACACCTCAGTCAGAGACTGCAGTATTAGGCTCTTTGATAAATTGTCCATTATTTGTGTTTCTAAAAGTAGGGCAGCACGGTGGCTCAGTTGGTACCTTCTCTCAGTGAGAAGGTTGCCGGTGCAAATCCCAACCTGGGACCTTTCTGGGTGGAGTTTGCATGTTCTCTCCGTGCATGCGTGGGTTTTCTCTGGGTACTCCAGTTTCCTCCCACAGACCAAAAACATGCATGTTAGGCTGATTGGTAACTCTAAATTGTCCTTAGGTGTGAGTGAGAGAGTGAATGGTTGTTTGTCTCGTTTGTCTCTATGTGTCCCTGTGATTGACTGGAGACCCATTCTGGGTGTCCCCTGCCTCTCGAACGGTGAGAGCTGGACATGGGCACCAGTGACATCCGTGACCGGAAAAGGAATAAGCAGGTAAACTGGATGGATGGATGGATGGATGGATGGATGGATGGATGGATGGATGGATGGATGGATGGATGGATGGATGGACGGATGGACGGATGGACGGATGGACGGATGGATGGATGGATGGATGGATGGATGGATGGATGATTAATAGCAGCAGTTCGGGTCACAAATCCCGGCAGCTTTTGTTTGTGGGCCAAAAGCTAAAAAGTTTGGAAACAGCTGATGGAAAATATTCTTGTGAACAAAGTGGACTTAAGTGTTGCTGCAGTGATTGATGTTCCAGTTGCAGCAACGGTCAACTTTTCTACAAGGCAATTGTGTTTTCACTAAACTTCATCTCGAGCATCATGATTCAAGGCTTTTCAATTAGTGAAGAAAGAAGATATCTATATATCTATATATCTATATATATGTCTATAAATATATATAGATATATATATATATTTATATATATATATATATATTTTTTTTTTATCGGAACCCCTCCCAAATTCTACACTATTGGCAAAGTTTAAGGTTTGAAATAAAATTTAAAAAAAATCACAAGCAACTAGGCTGGATATGATGATCGATGAAAGGATCAGTGTGACGAGAGCTTCCTGAGAACTAACGATGAGTCAGTGAATGCTAAAGGAGAGACTGACACCAGAACAGAGCTGCTGTCAGGCTGTATCGCTATTGCTCATCCATCCATCCATTATCTTTACCCGCTTATTCCATTTTGGGTCACGGGGGTCGCTGGTGCCCATGTCCAGCAATCACTGTGCGAGGGGCGGGGTACACCCTGGACGGGTCGCAAGTCCATCACAGGGACACATAGAGACAAACAACCATTCACTCTCTCACTCACACCTAGGGACAATTTAGAGTTACCAATCAGCCTAACATGCATGTTTTTGGTCTGTGGGAGGAAACCGGAGTACCCGGAGAAAACCCACGCATGCACGGAGAGACCATGCAAACTCCACCCAGAAGGCCCCTGGACCGGGGTTTGAACCAAAGACCTGCTCGCTGAGAGGCAGCAGCTCTACCAGTTGCGCCACCGTGCTGCCTGCTATTGCTCATATCAAAGTTTATTACTGTACTGAATTATTAAAGTTTGTTCCTAATAAGATAAGATAGAACTTTATTGATCCTGCAGGAAGCTGTTCATATAATACATAATGCAAAACTGCAAAATCATCATTTCTTATAATAGTACTTTAAAGCTACTTTATACTGAACTTCTGGGAGGCTGGGTCAAGTGTCTTATAGTGATTTTTACCCTAAAAATAAGTCTCAAGTTGATCAACAAAGGAAAACACTAACTCATATCATTTTGCGTCAAAACCACCACTCCATCTTCTAAACATAAAGGTATTGTACAACTTAAAGGATGTTTTAAATGTGTCCCATAATCTAAGTTCACCTGTTTCAGTCATGTATGTCATGTACAGTATGTAGGTGATCGGGATAGCTTCCTTTGTAAAATATCTCTTTAAAAAGGTTTTGAGTGCTCACATTCATACAAGTCTTTGACTCAGATATCATCTGTAGTCTTTTCAAAACACCCACCCTCATCCAAGATCTTAAAAGCTTAAAAAAAGCCCTGAAGACATGCAATTCACTGAGACTTTGAGAGCGAGAAAGCCTGCATAAAAGATGCACACAAGCATTCAGAAATTCACAAAGCTGCATGTCTAACTGTGAAGGCTTTGATGGCACAGCCTTCAAAAATCCTCGGGAATGTGGCGTCGACCCCATCCTCACCTCTGACCGCCTGCAACGTGGGGAAGCTCTTTAACTTGATCTGAGACAGATAACGGAATATGCTCTGCATCTCTAATGAGGAAAGAAAGTCAGAAAGATTAGAAGAAACGCTGAGAGGGACAAAGGACGTCACACCGGGTGAGCCACAGGCAGGCGAGACAAAATAATAAAAACAGAAGCGAAGGCGGACTAAGTCAACAAAATGACAAAAAGATGGAATAACACATTTGGACAGTTTTAGCTCAGTGGTAATTAAAGCCAGACAGGTAAAGATTAGCAATAAGAGAAATGTGAGCCTGAAATTACAGGCAATATGCCAAACATTCCTCCAGTTCTGCAGCAAAGTCCTTTAAATGTCTGCATGGGTGATTACAAATACTCATGTTTAACAGTGACGCAGTTCATTTCATTGTCAAACGAAGAACCTCCTGTTCCCACAATACAAACAAGCACCAACATTTCAGTCAGAGCTTCAGGGACCTTTCATATGAGAACATTAATTTGTTTTTCTTTTTACGTGTGAAAACACGAGAGTAAAAAAAAAAACAGCTTTATGTCCACACAGAAGCAGCATTTTACAAGCCCCAAACTGTATTCTTTGAAAACAAGTTCCAGAGTGAAAAACATATTGAACTGCCCCTTTTACCCTCATTATGTGTAGACAATTAAAACACAACAATTAGAAAATGATGACCTCATAGCCTCCCGTTTAAATCTAACCTCCAATCCGAGGTCGACCTCATCTGTCATGTTGCAGCCGGCGTACGAGCTTTATCCACATTCTGAACACTAAGGCTGCGCAATGTATCGATTCATTATCATCGCACTACCAGTGAGTGCAGTATCAACAAGAACTGCTTGAATTGTAATAAATCAAAGGCCAGTGTATTTCAAGTAGCAAGCAATCAGGTTTTGCATGCTAATAAAATATTTGGTCAACCTAACAGACACTCATTGAGTTTGATGCTCACCCCTCAGTTAGATAATGGTGCTACAGAAGAAAGTGAGGCTGTTGACATCACACTGTTAATAATAATAATAATAATAATAATAATAATAATAATAATAATAATAATAATAATAATAATAATGTATTATGTATTGCCATCATTGTATGTTCCCATACAATGGTGAAATTGGATCTCTGCATTTAACCCATCCACCACTAGGTGGAGCAGTGGGCAACTATTGAAAGAGGGGAACATTTTGGGGATAGGGTGTGCTGCTCAGAGACAACACGAGATGTGCAATGACTGGGGATCGAACGTGGGACTTTTGGGTCCTAAGTCGTCTGCCCTGCCTCTACACCATCTCAGACCCCTAAAACAATAACATCGCACATTTTTCTTATATCATGCTGACCTGCTACATGTCTTGTTTTCCATTTGTGGTGTACATCACCATACACAGGCCTCTCATACATACTACAGCATTTTGGCTCATTTTCTGGTTTTCATGTGGATGAAAACATTTCTAGAAACAGTTTAAGAGGACAAATTTAGAAGCAACAAATAATAATATGTAAGAAAGAATTTAAAATAAAATGTTACAAGTGATGGAATGAAGCACGTTTAGGTTTTGAACTTTTGAACTGAGTAAAACGTAAGTTAAGGGCAGTACACTGGGGCACAACACATAGGCCTTTTTTCATTATAATTAGAGTGTGGATTGTTTTTAAAGAAAATAATAAAACGTCTAATTGTCTTTGAGAGTTAGATTGGACAAAACATATCACTTTGATGGCAAGTTATAAACAGAGAAATGACAAAAAAACACATTTTAGGCATTGTTTCCGCCCTTTCTAGTAAATTCTCTAATCCGTATGAAACATAAACAAATCTCAGTTAGGGTTGCTGTCATTATTTCAGGTATTTCTCTTCAGTCTGATTTGACTGACAGGCTCTTTGCAGAGGCCTTAGGCACCTACAGTTTATAGCACTTCCCCTTTAATATCTCCACCCAAAAACAGTGCTCAGACACTTTTACAGCTGCTGCCTCAGTTCTCATTAGGATAAATGCTGCAGCCTCTCACTCCTCTGTCAATACTGAGCTGCTGGGCTTTAAAAGAAAGAGACAGAATAGGAGATGATCACATGATCCAGGAGAACATTCCACTCACTACATCGGTTTCTTAACTCTTGAGTCTTTCTCCTCCCTGAATAAGAAAGCCAATCGCCCCGGGAAGGCAGAAACTCTATTATGATGTGCGTAATATCTCCATTCTTTCAGCATCATTACTGGCTGCAGGGCGGGCGCTTGTCTCACTGCACACAGCGCTAAAAGGATGCTGTGAATGTGGGATTATTTCTTTAGCTATTCTTACATGGTCATGCAAAAAGCCCATTATTGTATCCTTCCAGCCTGCTTTTCAAATGAAATCCAACCTGTTGCCGTTTGAGGTGCACAATTTGTCATATGGAAACAAGATGTGAAAGGGATCGAAGTGACTGGGATTATGAGATTATACATATTTGTATAGAAGTGACTATACTACTTACATGTCACCCAGATTTGAAGCCAGGAAGTATTTTTAAATTGATGGTTATAGAAATATGTAGTCCTCTGGAACTTGTGAATTTTAAGATGATGATCTAACGTGATTGATTACAGCTTCTTTGTTGCTGAATAGCCAAGTGGTACGCTGATGTCCCCCCTCGCTGAAGGATTTGAATAGTGAATGTTTGTTTGTACAGTAGTTTTTGAGATGAGTGCTTTTCTGGATAGGACTTGGACAGGGAATACAAGTAAACGTTAATGTTTTTGGTGCAAGTGTGTAAGAGTTACACAGTGTATAAGAACAGAGGTAGTTTTTTTTCCTTGTTCAAGGTGGCGTAGAGTGACAAATCTTGGCAACTGGAAGGAGCAAGTGTATCCACCACCAGGAAAAATGGTGGAGCCAGGGGGTCAGCTAATGATGGCCTTGGCCACCATAAATAAATTTTTTAGCCACCATAATCATTTCAGGAAACTATACTTTTCAGCAAAATAATAAAAGTAGAAAGCATAGTTTCCTCTAATGATAGGGGAGGTTGGTGTGTGTGTGTATATATATATATATATATATATATATATGAACCTTTTTTATGCCTAGATGCAGTGACACACTGAAAAATACACTGAAATGGAAGTTGGTATCTTACTTGTTTTTTAAGTTATCACACTTTCATGGATATCAACATTCATGGATGGATGGATGGCCTGATGGACAGACAGACGGAGGGTATTCTAATCTTTGTATTTGCTCTACAGTGGGGGACAACAATCCCCATATGACATCACATCATTGTTGTCATTGCATTCAGCCTCTCTAGAACCAAAGGTGTCCATATTTAAACAAAGGGGTGATCCTGAAGGGAGAGCCTTGAAAGATGATTGAATGAACGTGTGCTTCACTGACGCCCTACAGTATATACTAATGGAATATTTGTTTAGTTTTTTCCACAGGGACCAAAAGTGCATTAAATAGAAGTGAATCCAGCTGCTGAATATTTTGTTTTTAAGTCAAGGGACTAAAATTCAAAAGTGCAAACCATTTTTTAAATACAATTTTTACAACTAATCACTTAATTACTCATAAAAACTGATAAACCAAAAACTGATTAGCACTCACCTGGCAGCCTCTCTTCTCGATCTCATTGATGCACTTGCTGATGATCAGCGGCACAATCAGTCCGGTATTCTCCCTCTCCACCACTCGCCACACCTCCACACCAAACACCTGCAGCTCTCGGTCTCTGTTTGGCCCGCCGTCCAACGAGTTCTGCCAGTGCTCCATCAAGTTCAGTTTAACATAGATCAGTCCCCGTGGCTCCAGTTTCACAGCAAGCTGGTGGGTGCGCGTCACCCTGAAGAGCGTGGGCAGCACCACCGTGCCGTGGCAGCAAACACGGTTGCGTTTTGGCGTGGGCTCCCAACTGAACACCACCAGCTTCAGATGCTGGGCGTTCTCCAGCTCGATGTTGAATGTGTGATCCATATCTAGGAAGGAGGTTCGGCAGGTGAGGAGAGCCGTGCGTGCTTTGTTAACAGAGTCAACCTGGATTGCGCAGTAGACATCTCGAGAGTCAACACGTGGAGGTTTGAGGTCCTCTGCACCATAAAAATGGAGACTCATCAATCCAGATATGTACTGGCTGCACTTGGGCTGCTCTGTGAAACTGTAGTGACGGAACGCGTCAATGTCCAGCTCTGTGCCGTTGAGTCTTGAGGTCCCACCTCCCTCAGTTTCTTTTCCTTTCCCACCCTTTCCCTTTGCAGAGCTGTGTTTTCCAGATTTAGCCACCAGTTCTGGTGAGTCACCATCACTCAGGTAGCCACCCTTAATAGCAGACTTTGAGCTGCAGTTGCTTTTCTTCTTACTGAAGCTGTGCTGTGTAGACACACTGCTGTCCAGGTGGTAGCGCGAGATCACATTCCGACCCGACTGAACACCCCCGGATGAGACTAATCGAGGAGGACCTGAAGTCTGGGTGACAACTTCAGACCCACTCCTATTGGCCCGAGGAGAATGGGCCCTCGGCTCTAACTGACTGCTCCCACTGCTGCTCGTCGTGTTGCTTTGGGTCCCTTTCACACTGAGTTTTCGGCTAATCTTCATGGAGATCTTCCTGACAGTACGTGGAGACTTGATCTTGTCTGGGAAGGACCAGTTGATAGAGCTGCACTTCTTGGTTGGGTTGGGGCTTGAGGGCGGAGAAAAGCCAATCGGCAGGTCAAGAGCATCTAGAAAATAAGCATGGCAAGAGAAAACTTTAATTAAACACAATTTGAATTCTGATTTATGATACATTGGGAAATATTCAAACACTTTCTTGTCACATTGTTAGGCAGAAATTAATGTTTAGAAAATATAAGGGTATGAACAAATGGGTACCACCTTTTTTTAGTCATTTTGTTCACTAATTGCATTAAACAAGCCACCTTTCACCTGTGAATACAAGTACCGTATTTTCAGCTGTATACGTTGCAGCGCCCTACAAGTTGCATCAGTCCAAATATGTCTAATAAAGTGGGAAAAAAAAAGAAAATGTTGCTTTGCTGTATAAGTCGCATCTATTATGCGTCACCACTGACAACCCGTAAATGTGAGCCGGTGTTGTGCCAAAAATCGATGGGCTGCCAAAAAGCGGCCACGGGAGCATGCATGGGAGGACTTTAACAAGCACTTAACAATATTAACACTTAATACCAATTATTTGTTTACTCTAAATTATAGTAAAGGTGTGTCTCAGTCTCTTTTGCTTAATAAATGCACTTTGACGGTCAAATCAGCTGCATTTCAAAACCAGATTTGCAGAAGTGGGCACGCGCAGAGGGACGAGCCTCTGTGTATTTCTACGAAATTTAACAAGATAACCACCTAAAAACAAACATTTGTTAGCTTGACTTTATAGTAAAGGTGTGTCTCGGTCTACCTTTTGCTTAATAAATGCACTTTGACAGTCAAATCAGCTGCATTTTGCCAGGGCAGCATAGCAAAATGAAGCTGATTCAGTTGCTCCAGGCAGTCGATGGTTGCAGTCTTTGGCAAGCCGTTTGTGTCATTAATAGTCACTTTTACCTATTACATGATATAACGGCATGCCATACTACTGAAGTGCCATCTAGCGGCTGAAAATGGTAATGTTCATTTTTTTTCACTCGAATGAATGAAAACGATCATATCTCAGCCAAAAATTGGTTTATAAATATGGGGAAAAAAATTCATAAATACGTCACTTTGCCCTATAAGTCACAGGGCATACAAATTATGCAAAAAACCATGACTTATACAGTGAAAAATACTATAGCTGCTTAAATATCCAGAAAACAAAGGCAAAAAAAGAGACTAAAACCCAAAAGAGTATGCAATAATCACAATTTACAACCTCTCAGAAAAGTAGTACACCTTCATGCCACACCACCAAATGATTAAGTTTACATGCAACCCAGTAATCCAGGGGCAAATGCAACCTGTGGGCAATGGTTCCTGTAAACACTTCAGATCTGTATAAGGGCATTACAGCTCCTCTATTTAAACAGACCATCTTTGAGGCAATTTACAATTTACGTTCTTTGAGTCCTTGTTTATTAAAGCACCATGTTCAAACATTAATTATTAAACAGAAATCATTTTAGCTGCAGTTCCAGTAAAGGCACAAAGGAGAAACTGTCCAGACATCAAACCCTATAGTTACTCAGTCATTATTGCAGTTAAAAACCATCCATCTGGTGTAAACCTTGTAGGCAGGTCATGCTTAACTAGATGCCTTCATAAGCTTGAAACTTTAGGTTAATTTCATGAAGAAGTAACACCCAACATTTAGACCCAAGGACTGAAAGTGTGGATTTCATCATTAAGCTCTGCAACAATGAAGTTCTCAACAGATTTTCCCAAATGCATTTTGCATTGCAAATTTATTTATTTATTTATTTATTGCTTGTTTTAGGAAAATGTAAACACTAAAAGAAAATAGGAAGTTGAAAAATGGACAATGGCTATTTTTTGTTTAGTGCTGCCCCATTACCTGGTAGATCTTGGTACGTTTTCAATTATGTATTTTTCCTTGAAGCAAAGCTATAAAACTAACAAAATCACTAAAACTACCAAGAGTACTGCAGCTTACACATTAGATTGCTTGAAGTATTTCTGCAATTGCCATCAAGTGGAACCAACACAGACAAAGCTGGCTGTTCAAATCCAAAGAATTAAGACTGATGAGTTATTCTTTTTTTTTTGTGCAGAGTTCTGGTGATCTAGTTCTGGTAATCTAGGATTTGTACATCAACTGCAAATGTGCTGCAAATGTGCTGCAAATGTGACACTGTCTATTGTTGTTGCTGTTGTCCATTGTTGTCATCATTCTTTGTTGAAATCAGGTCTCTCTTGTAAATGAGTCCTCAGGGCTCAATGGGATTTACCTGTCTAAATAAAGGTTGAATGAATGAAAAAAAAAAAAAAAAACGTATTAAAAATCTTTAAAAATACAATGAAAATGTGTGATTACATCGGAGAGAAAAAACACAGAAAAATATTAAGTAAAAAAGCAACCTGACCCTGCCAACATCACCAGCTTTATTTTCAGAGGAGACCTGCTGGGCTTTTCTGGGTTGAGGGCCTGGAAAGTGAAAAGACTGAGGTGCAACAGGCTCAAGGGAGGGGGGTATGATGGGGAGCAGCAGTGGGGCAGGGAGTAACCCAGCAGATGAGGGACAAAGGCGTCCCTTGTCCAGGCACTCAGAGGTCTGGACGGTCGACTGGAAGGCTGGCAAGCCGGCTGGTAAACGTACAAATGGACACGGCTGTTCTCTCACATTCCTCATCAAACCCCTTTAGCTGGGTTGAGTGGGCTTCCCTGTCATGGCTTCCTGCCAGTAAAAGACACAGAGGAGCTCTAAGAAGGCAGGATTTGGGTAGAGATCCCTGAAGGTAAAAATTCACCAAACAACATCTGGGGAGGGGTTGGGTACACAGAGGTCTGGTCAAGGCTGAAACAAGGATTGTGGGAGTGAGAGTCCTAAAAATAGACACATAAAACACCAAACTCTTTTTAGCCTCTTCAGCATACCAAAATGATGTTTTAGCTTAGTTTTTAGTTTTTTGTATAGCATTTACTGAATTGAGGCAATGCTCACCAACACTCCTAGTAGCTCTGCCTCAGATAGTTAATGACTACTGCATTGTTAATGATTGTGGCTCCACACACACACGAAAGCTGGGTCTTTTGTAGCCTTTGGCCTTGTGGCAGCAGCCATCAGAGTAATGTGACACCTCACGAGTTGAGGTTCAGGAGCAATGGTTTGACACTCAACCCTCCAGGGCAATGTTCAAGGGTCAAAAGGGCAAAAGGTCTGCATTCCACTGGGCGACACCTGAGCCTGGCATCTGTATCCAACCCCCAACACTTTACCATGCACATGCAGTCCCTGTCTTACTGTAACACAAAGAGAGCGTGCATGGAAACATGCACTTGTAAGGAGAAACACGCACAGTCACCCCTGACCCTGTCATCACCTCAGGCACCCGGCCTCTGACAACTCTTAACAAAAGCCAGGAATTTATGATGCTGGTTATTTGTGGTGCTGACACAGTGCAGGTGCAGGATGAGGACGTGCACGTGACACACAAACTGATCCTCATAAAATGTTTGTCTCTATGATCCTCTATCGTGCAACAAATTGGCCTTGTAGCTATCACTAAACTGTAAATAATAGTCACATAATCTGAGCTGTTGATTCATTCTGCAGATATTAGGTGCCTGGTCTGCAAGAATGTGACTGTGTGTATGTGTGTGACTGTGTGTGTGTGTTTGTGTGAGAGAGAAATTAAGTTTGTGCAAACTCTGATAAGCCTTGGACGGAGAGAATAATCTGCTGTTCCTGATTGTCCCCATAAAAACCACTTGTGTTCGCTGTCTATGTTCCTATGAGGGTGTTCAATGTGTTCAGGGTCAAAAGAAAAAGCCAGGGTGTGCTGACAAACAAGGAGAGTGCAAATAAAGTCTGAATAGCATGCTTGTCCTGTAGTTTTTTGGGGGAGGTTTTACTCTCCAACTTAGTGACTGGGACACAGCTTAGAGCTGCTACCGCACCTCTTGGCTCTAAATATTTCATTGCTGGAAAGCCCTTCAGGGGCTGCGGGAGTCTGGACGTTTCATTACAATAGTTACAAAACCAATGCTAATACATCCAAGCATGCAGCCCTTCTTGTTAGCACGCCATGGCACCCTGCCAAAGCGCTCCTCTAACAGCTTAGCTCGCCTACTACTGCAGGAATTTCGGCTACACTTCAACTAAACTGTCTGAGTGGCTGCTAATTGTAGTCAGCCTGGGCTGGCTGTACTGCTGCATACCAAGCAGCTATGTGATAATAACCCATTTCAATTTATTTTGGCGACTCCCCTTTGCAGGGGTCGCCACAGCAAAGAAACTTGCATGAAGGATTTGGCAATTGTTTAATGCTGGGTGCATTTCCTCACGCAATCTGGGCTTCCACTTGCAACCTCACAATTACTTTTTGCAACCAAATAACAAAATTAAAGCAGATATTTATTTGATGTGAATAACATTCCCAGGCAAAGAAAGATTACTGAACAGTCAACGCCAATCATTTTGTCAGATAGTGTTTCCCACACAGATAACAAGTAAAGGATTTGCTTAACACATGACTGATCAATCAAAACATTTTATTAAAAAAATATTTCTATGAGTCACAGTGAAACAAAAATCAACAAAACACTTGAACCAATCAGACACTTTGCTAGAATTAGTTTTCTCGTGGCCAGCTGGACACAAATTTTAGGCAATGCTTACAATGCGTTGGAGTGATCTACTGTATGTATAGGTCGGGGGAGAGAAAATGTCTGTTTAAAATATATTTATTACTATTCTTTGGTAATGCAAGTTCCTTGTGGATTGAAAGGTGCTTGTAGCCAAATAAAAAGCTGGACGAATTATCCAGCTGCAAAACGTTAGAGCTTCAGCACTTTTCTTTATCCCCTATAGCTTAAAAAAAACACTGAATATACCTCACTAAAGTTACTGAATAATCTACAGCAGTCCAACAAATTCAATTAGAGACAGTTATTGTGTATAAAATGTCTTGAATGTACATTGATTAAATCTTAAGCCATCAAAATAAAGACTAGTACACATTTCTACATCTTAAAGTGACTCTTGCACAGTATTGTTGCTTTGAGATGTTGACTTCCTCCGGAACAAAGCGAGCAACGATACGACAAGAT